CTTGATTGAAATTGGTTATGGAGGATGTTGTAAAAGTGTAAACGTTCACCATTAATCTCCTTGCCCCAGGTTTGTGTCTTAACTCACAATTAGAGGACTGAAATCAGTAATTTTATGCTTGTAGCCTTCATCTGAGTTCTTTGGGTGGCAAATGTTTAGAGATCTTGGCAACTAAGCGAAAAGGTACACAGAGCAGCTTGAAGAAGGCCTGGTAATTGGCTTCTGGGGATGAGGAAAGAAATTCAGCCACTGAAAACCTTACGGAGCGAAGTTCTACTGTGACACACACTGGGGTCTCTAGGAGTTGAGATTGAGTCCTTAGTAACGGGTGTGGGTGTGACTTTCACTTAGATTGTTTCTCCACTTCATTTTTTAGCTCCGTTATCTCAAAGAGTTGCCTTTTGTGGACCTACATTAACTGGCATTTTGAACATTTTTTAATTTTTGTTTTTGTGTAGTTTGTATGAGGAATACTGCTATTTAGTAGAATGATGGTAAAGTTTACAATAGAATTGCCAAAGGTGATGACTAAGGCTCTTTGATGTGTTGATATTTTCTTAAACTTTCCCCTATAAAAGCCATTGCTGATGTTTATTAATTAAGATCTTTCTGCCCTCTGCCCTCTAGTGTAGGTAAGTATTGTAGTCGTTAGTGTGGAGGGAATTTAGAGGTAAATAATTTTACCAACGCCAGTCTGTCCTCAAAATGAATCCTCCTATAATAGACTTTTCTAACATGTACCTCTTTCTTCTGCTTTATTAAAACCCAGGGAGGGAAAGGCTTTTACTCAGGGTTTGGTCTTTTTTTTTTTTTTTTTTTAACCAGATATCTTTTAAACAGCTCTTGATGCTGCCATATTAATGTCTTTTAGGGGTGATGCATTAAAATATGTTTACATCATTTAGGAAGGCAACATTTTTTTTTATTCTTTGTTTTGCAGATATACAGATCAGCTCTCAAAATGTCTTCTGTGTCTTCCGAGCATCTTCTAAGACAATTGCATTAACCTCCTGCTAGTTGACTAATAGAATTAATCATTGTAAAAAGCACTCTAAAGCCACATGCCTTATGAAGTCAATGCTGGGTATGATTTTACAAGTATGTGATCCATTTTTTCAAGTGAAAATATTAACTGGAAAAGTTCTTGGCACACAGTAAAACGTAGTGCAATCTGTTGTTTGTCTTAGAGATAATAACTTGAGGGTGGCTATAGTCTTATGGCATCTAACTTATGACTTGCTAGGGGAGTTTCTTTCCACTTAGAAGTATTGCAAATGTGCTTATATTTACATAATATGTCACTCTGAAAAATTATGGTGATATAGTTCTGTAAAAAAATTTTTTTTTCTATATGACTTCAAAGTATGGTCAAGTAAATTAGTGACATTAAAAAGCAAAAAAAGAAGCAACTAAAAAGAACATCCCCTGCCCTCCACAACAAAAAATAAAATCCAATGACCTTCCTGATACTTCTTTGAAGTTTTAGCAGTTTAACATTCTCTGCAGTGTGTATTGTTAAGGGCTCTATTCAGCATAATCCTGGTGTGGTACTGTGGGTTAATGTGCTGCACTGCAAATTCGGTTTGAACTGTAAGGTTGGCAATTCAAGATCACCAGCCGCTCCTTGGAAACCTGTGCAGGGCCACTATGGGTCGGAACTGACTCAATGGCACATTAACAACAACATTCAGCATATTGAGCACAGTGGCTCAATACGGGTAAGCACTGGACCGTGGCTTCCAAGGGCTGTGGTTCAAGCTCACCAGCTGCTCTGTGGAGAAAGATGAGGCTTTCTGCTCCGGTTGCTATGAGTCAGAACTGATTCGGTGGCACTTAACAACAACAGCTATTCACCATAAGGAGTCAGTGAATCTTACTTGTTCTAAATATCTGTTCTTGGGTTGAAAGAAGGAACTGGAATTTGGAAACATGATAATTTACTTATATTACCCTTTCTCCCAGGCAATAAGAATGCCAATTGAATATGACTAGTTATTAGACTATGTGACCCATTGCATCTTTTAAGGTTAACAAGATATAAATTTTACTTTGTTTGGAAAAATAACTTACTGATTTTAATATTTAAAAATATATATCTATGACCTTCAACATATTTTATCTTAGTTCCCTTACTGTTGTTGCCAACGGTACCATTTTTCTGATCACCATTGGCATTATTTGAGGACCATAACTATTTTCTTTTCATTTTGATGGAAGAATAATTTAAATTAGGATATTTATTCTTCATTTATTCATGTTGTTGTTAAGTGCCATCAAGTTGATCCGACTCACAGTGACTCTGTATAGGGTTTCTGAAGAGAAACTGGTGGGTTTGAACTTCTGATCTTGTGGTTTGCAGTCCCCTGCTGGTCCTACAGTGCCACACCAGGAGTCCTCATTTATTCATGGGTCCACTATTTCATGTATGATTTTTATAACTTTTTGTTTAACCTGTTTATTTGGTGAAATATTTTTGTGCCTTTTTTTTTTTCATTTTGGAGAAAACAATAAAATATAAATGATACAGTTCTTCAGCTTTCTCTAAGGAAAGATTTTGTTGCAGTAGTTACTAAAGACATTATGTGAAATAGAAAACAAAAACGAAAGCAAACAAAACAAACAATCATGAAATTCTGGAGGGCAAGCCAGAGTTGCTGTACCAAAACATCATTTTTTAATATGTGGGAATATCTGTTACTTTATAAAATAGAAAATAGTTCTCTGTAAGTCAAATGGGAGTCTTGATGTGGTACTGTACGATAAGCGATGGACCACAAGGTGGGTTTGAACCACAAAGTCAGCAATTCAAACTTAACCAGCCGCTCCTTGGAAACTCTACAAAGGGTCGCTCTGAGTCAGAACCCACTGGCAGTACTTAATAACGAGAAGGAGCAGTATACTTTCATAAAGGCAGATACAACATTTTTGACATGATATGATCTATGAGAATTTTCACCTTGTAAACAATCCCTTATATACTCTAGTGCATTTTCTGTGGTCAGTGATTCATGTTCTAAAACTTTTGCTTGACCAGCTTTTCAGAAGCAAAAGCACACCCATTGATTTGCAGTCTGTGTGGTTCCTCAGCACTTGTGAGAAATTATAAATGAAAACGAACTAAAATGTGTTTATTAATTTGGATTTTCTTAGAACATTTTGGTTATTCATAGTATAACTAACTCTGTCATATCTAACCCCATGCAGAGTTGGCCAGTAGAAGAGAGTTGTTTGGTTTGTCAATCATAGGTGGGTATTTCCAGAAGACATTTAGGGTGATGACTTCAGTACAGGGCAGTATTTCACTTGGGAAATGAAGAAGGAAAGGCCATGAAGCTCAGCTCCAAAGAGCCTTTGCTAGCATATTCTTCTATTGACACAACACAAATTGCTTCTTATCTGTCTGTCCTTAAGAGTCCTGACTCATGGCACTCTGGTAGAGAAATGTGTCACACAGTTGTTTTTTTTTTTTAACTCTACTCACTGTCACCTATGTCACCCAAAGGCGTAGTTTAACTGGCGTGTAAAGGTGAGCCACACAAAATGTTCAATATTTTACCATTTTGAATTAAAAAAATGGCAGTGCACTGTGGTTTGAGTTCAGATTTTCTTAAGTGAACTTCCAATGTGTTCTGATAATGGAGTTGGTACGCTTTACCAGGCTGTGCTTACGAATTCAGGATTTAGGTTATTTTTCCTATCATGCCAGATGATAAAACCGTATAACACCAAAACCAATGACACCAAACCGTCTACTGTCGAGTCAGTTCTGACTCATCACAACCCTACGGAGGATAAAGTAGAGCTGTACCATAGGCTTTCCAATGCTGTAAATCTTTATGGAAGCAGATTGCCTCATCTTTCTCTTGCAGAGCTGCTGATGGATTTAAACAGCTGGCCTTTTGGTTAGCAGCCCAATGTTTAACCCACTGCACAGCCAGGGATAGGGTTTCCGAGGAGCGACTGGAGAACTTGAACCGCCAACCTTGCAGTGCAAAGTGACTTTGCAGTCATTATTAGGAAGAAGCTTTATGTAAATAGAAAATGGCATTGGTGACAACAAGGCCAGGAAAGTTGTGCTGAGGACCTTTTTGCCTCCCCCACAGTGCACCTACTCATTTTTGCAGGGTAGCAAAGACTCTATCCTAAGATAATTTCATTGGGAAACCTTACCCCGTCCACCCTACAGTCCCTGTCTTGCCCATTGAGACTTCATTTCATTCCCAAGACACAAAGAACATTTTAAAGGATGCCCAAACTGCCATTTGGATGTAGTGTAAATCGAAGAGTGGAGACTGTTTCGGAAAAGGGTTAGAGAGAGGGAACCACCACCTTCTGAAGTGGATAGACAGACCTAGATGGAGGATATATTGAGAAATAAGAACTTTCCACTTTTATATTTTTGTTATTTAATAAAAATTTCTGTAATATTGTAGCAATACTTTTAGACTGGTGCATACACACACACATATATCATGCATAAATACGTAAGCATATGAGCACATATGTACGTATATATTACTGAGTATATCTGAAGAAGTAAATTGGGCAAAAATATAATTTGGGAGGAAAAATAACTAATACCAAATAGGAAGGATTCCTGGTGTGGCGCTGTAGGGTAAGCAAATCATTACATCAGCAGTTCCAACCCACCAGATGCTCCTCAGAAACCCTGTACAAGTTTGCTATGAGTTGGAACTTAACAACAACAGCAATAGGAAAGATGGTTCTGGTAAAAAGGAATCCTTCCGTATTCCTAAAATCATTTTGAAATAAAAAATGACCCATTTTTTTTGTGACCAAAAATATTTCTAAATGTAAGTTGCTTGCTTTAGCCTCAACTTTTTGCAACATTTAAAAAGGAATTCCCCCCACCCCCGAAGGGTGTATTGTATTACACACATTGCAAAGCATTTAATAGAATAAATAAAATATTCTAGATTAGATTACATGTCTGTAGCTTTCAAATAACCCTGTTTCTGCTTTTCCTTGTATTTATACAGATATGGTCCGGAAAAAGAACCCCCCTCTGAGAAACATTGCTAGTGAAGGCGAGGGTCAGACCCTGGAGCCTGTAGGTACTGAAAGCAAAGTATCTGGAAAAAACAAAGACTTTTCTGTAGATCAGATGTCAGAAAATACGGATCAGAGTGATGCTGCAGAGCTAAGTAATAAGGAGGATCAGAACTTGCATGTCCAAGATCCATCGTCTAGCAGTAAGAAGGACTTAAAAAGCTCAGTCCTCAGTGAGAAGGCTGGCTTCAATTATGAAAGCCCTGGTAAGGGAGGAAACCTTCCCTCCTTTCCGCATGATGAGGTGACAGACAGAAATATGTTGGCTTTCTCATCTCCAGCTGCTGGGGAAATCTGTGATCCCTTGAAGTCTCCTCAAAGAGCAGAGGCAGATGACCCTCAAGATATGGCTTGCACCCCATCAGGGGAATCATCGGAGACAAAGGAAGATCATAAGATGTCACCAACGGCTACAGAGGAAACAGGGCAAGCGCAGAGTGATCAAGCCAATTGTCAAGGCTCAAGCCCGGTTTCAATGGCCTCAAAAAACCCACAAGTGCCTTCAGATGGGGGTGTAAGACTGAATAAATCCAAAACTGACTTACTGGTGAATGACATCCCAGACCCGGCACCTCTGTCTCCAGAGCTTCAGGACTTTAAATGCAATATCTGTGGGTATGGTTACTATGGAAACGACCCCACAGATTTGATTAAGCACTTCCGAAAGTATCACTTAGGACTGCATAACCGCACCAGGCAGGATGCTGAGCTGGACAGCAAAATCTTGGCCCTTCATAACATGGTGCAGTTCAGCCATTCCAAAGACTTCCAGAAGGTCAACCGCTCTGTGCTTTCTGGTGTGCTGCAGGACATCAATTCTTCAAGGCCTGTTTTACTAAATGGGACCTATGATGTACAGGTTTGTGCTTTGTATTGTGATCTCTCTAGACCAGAAAAGATACTATTAATGAAATGTGAATTCATACGTGTGTGATAAAGCCAAGTTCCCAATTCCAGAAGGGTAGCTTACTAGAGCCCAGTGAAAAAGAGTCCCACTTTCCTTATATTTTCATTTATAAGGATTTTTGAAGTTGTCCCTAACTTGTCATCATGAGAAATAATTACAGCATTTCTATTAGGTTGGGAAGTAATCTTTTGTGGAATTAGCTAGGCTTCATGTTTATGGACATATTTCATGGTAATTTGATGTTTTCACTATCTTCCAAATATGGCACTAATCTTTATGGTTCTCATGATAATAACATGCCTTGTTTTAATTTTAGAGTGTAAGGTTTATTCTTCAGTGAGACTCTTTCTTACATCTTGAATTAGGATTTGATTTTTATACTCAACTAGAGATCAAATTGAACTAAATATGGGTCACAGTAAAGGTTGAGAGATAGACTCCTGTAAATGTCAAGTAATTGTAAATAGAAATTTGAAAATAAAATTTTTGTATTGACTAAAAATAAGTCATGGGGATTGCAAGTATAAGGGACACAGAATGACCTTGGTGCAGGCTAACCAAGCATCCTCTTTGGCATGTCAAGAAAATGGTAATAATATATGAAAGCACTTGCTAATAATTGAGATCTATGTTTTTATTAAAACTGTCATACCTTTTTGATCTACTTTTCTGTCTTTAGTTTGCAGCATATGTAAAGTGAGAACTAACAGTTTCAAAGAGAATGAAAAGTGGAAATGAGTCTAAAGAAATAGATTCATTTAATTTTTGTTATTTTAACATGGTTGAAACTCATGGTCATCTTGAAAAAGTATTAGCCTTTGTCACTGCCTATAGATTTTGATTGTATTATTGGGCCAGGGGAATTTCAAAACATATAAGTTTATATTAATCATCTTGAGGAAAGATTGGAAGAAGTACTTGAGAATTAATGAAATCACATCCTCTTATGTAGCCTGCTAAATCTCTGAAAGTATCAGTCATTTTTATCAGCTCAGTAGCTACAGTACATTTTCCTTACACCTCTGTTGACCTAGTGGCAATAAAGAAATACAGGCAAAGGAATTGTGAATAACAGGTAGTGAACATATTTTTGCAGTACATGTAGGTAAAACCAGAAGAGAAATTTTCAAGTCCTTTAAATGTCAGAATGACAGTCTTATCACTTTGAAGGAGATACAAAGAAGAACCCTTAAACAGCCAGCTTCATCTCTGTAAAGCTCTCTGAAAATTCCATCTCACTTTGTGAATTTCCACAAATAGAATGTTTTCCGTGGAGCACCAACTTCAGCCAGCATAGTTATTATGCATGAAAGCTGCGTGCTTTGAACTGCTGTCTTATTAAAGATCATTTCACTGTCTAATGTCAGATACACTCTCCTGTCAAACTGTGATTGGAAAGCAAATAACGTGTTTTAGATAGAAGGGTTAGAAGTGAATAATGTCAGTATGTGAAACGGTGTTTTATAATTAGCAAGTAATATGATGTTAATACCTGGATTTCCGGCAGCAGTTTCAGTTTGCTCACTCTGGGGACATCATCTGAGGGAAGTTGAGCTAGGCTGTCAGGAAGGCTCCGAAACAAAGATTATTGAAGCCAATATTTAAGAGGAATTCAGATTTTTTAAAAATGCTTTTCCATTTCCCCCAACAGTTATTTGTTAAGTTCTTAGTTATTTATAGTAAAGTTTATGTTTGGGTAGAACGAGCTGAACACTTTTCCTGGGCAGTGATTTTAGAAATAAAACAGATGTTTGAGCTATCTGAGTTTGAACTAACAGGACTAGAAATAAAACAGCTGATCGTAGTCTATGCTGTCTACTAAATCCTTGGAGCTGCACACGGTAAAGAAGACAAAAAGTGGTAGGAGACATTATGTGGGAATATAATCTTGTTAAGATCAATTCTTTTCAAAGAGAAATAATATTGCTAAAAATAGAAAAAAAGTGGGTGATTATTTCAAAGAAACAATTGGGTGTGAAAACACATCTTAGCAGAATTCAGCTTCTTCAGTTTATGAAGGGGAACATTCAATAGACTTTTGGCCAAATGCTAATCTTAAATATTTTTTTGCATACACCAGATGTTGATGCAGAAATATGTATGACGATCAGTAAGGCGTCAACATTTTTATACTGAAGTAGATATTAAACAATTTCTTTTTGGCGTAAACTGAATGAAAGGACCTCCGAAATTCCCCTCTTTACCCATACACGCTTTTGTTGCTGAAATGCCATTTGAGAGGTTCTTTCCTTGGCACATGAACTGTGTGGAGACTGAAATCTGTGGGAGATAAAATGCTGACTATAGAATTTCTTTGATGCAGTTCTGTCAGAAATTTATAGTTAATGGCATGTGTTGATTCTGATAAAAAGATGTTGGTAAATATGAGCAACATGGACACATAATCATTCAGTTTCAGGAATTATTTATCTACATATATAATTTAAACTAATTGAAGTAATAGATGAGCAATTCATTAATCTTCTTCAGTTAAAGCTAGTCTTTATTTCCTTCCTCACATTCAGGACAGTTGGTGGCTAATGATAGATTTACGACATTTTAGGCCAAGAAAAAAAACAACAAAAGCAAGAATAGGGGATTTAAAGAGCTTGTGGCTTTGATGTACATTTTGGTATGACATGGATGGTTTTATGTAATTTGGACTGACTTGACTGCAAGTGTGAGAAATTTCATTGGCGAAAAATTAAACAGATTCTAAGAGTTTCAGTGCAGAGTTCAAATTATTGACCAAAATTTGACATATATTTGGGGAAAGATTGCAATTTAGACATACTTGAGTTGACACCATCTACTTTCATGTGAATTATATTACAGCTAATTGAATCAAAGAATTAATTTTTATTAAAGATAGTGTTGAACAGCTTGTGCGTGTGTGTCCCGCATAGTAAATAGTGCCACCAGTAGGGAATGGAGCTGACTTTTAAGCACTCATCATAATATCAACAGATAAGTCTATCAGTCTGCTCTCGCCCATATACCTTTTTATTAATAAGGTGACAGTGGTTTGTTTTTTTTTTGTTTTTGTTTTTTGACATACCTTGCTTTATCATGTACAACTCTGAAATCAGAAAAACAAGAAATGTTGATATATATGACCAGGATCTTAGTTTCTAATTTTGTTTTTTTCCTGCATGCTTTATGAATTGTTACATTTAAAATCTTATAAGGGGCGTGGCATGATTGGTACGTCCTCATGTGATTTTTATTACCTATGTTTTGCCTTTGAGGCTGACAGAGGCCAATAATAGGACAAGAGATTGAGTTCCTTCAAAAAAGTAATTACAGCTTCTTTCTTTTTAATCTGTTTTATTATGCTTATATATAAACTATCACTGAATGGAGGCCTGCATTGTTGAATGTGAACTTCGCTGTTTCATTAGGGCTTAATGCGTTGTGCATTAGGGCATTGCATCATCTTTATGGGGGAACTCTTAGCCCTCAGATCAGGTTATAAAAGTAGGAGTCCTGTCAAGTTGTGCTTCCCACGGGAAAGTGTTTAAGCCATCCTGTGTTTATAAACGTTCATAATGTATGTATTGCCCTTTCATATTAGTAAACCTTTCCTGTTTTTCTGCATAATTCAGGACATCAAAAAGACAGCTATTGGATTCCATCAATTAAATTCATTTTGTCCCTTAATAAAATTCTAAGGGTAAGAGAAAAATCTCACCATTAGCCTCACCACTAACTGTCTTGTATTTAAGCAAGGAGAATGACATCTCCGATATTTTTATCAGAGTTGCCTCATGTGCCATGTTGACAATAGGAAAAACAGATTTTGGAGCTAGGAAATCATATTCTGTGTTTGCATTTCCAGCATATTCAACTCTATCAGCTTTATAGGCCCTTAGCATATACCAGTGCATTCATTTGAACAGAGGATTAGAGTTTGGGCTGAAAGCAAAACAAAACAAAACAAAAAAAACTCAGGGAACATTAATCTCAATGTAGTCTATTTTGACTTTTCTTGAATCTTATTTCCAAATATTTATTTTTTGCCTTGGAGCTTCCTTTGATCTAGAAGAGGAGGGAAGTTGTAGATCTTAGCAGGTTCTGTTTCTTTGTTTTTCTAAGTTGAGGAGAATTGCACTTTAGAAAAAACTGATGAATGAGATTTTAATCAATTCAGACTGTCTATATGGTAGAGAATTTTGGCATATGAACCCATACATATAGTCAAGACTATATCTCTTTAACAAGTAATAAAGTGTGCAAAATAAAACATATGCCTACCCTAAGGCCATAAAGCAAAGTGAAGTTCTGGTATTTGCCAGGCCATTTTCATCAGTGTCCATGGTTGAGCTGGAGAATGTAACCATTTGGAGAGAACAGTTTGAACTTCTTCGTGTACAGCTTTACTTTTGTTGTTTTTAAGCGGCGTCGAGTTATTCGGCCCTGACCTGTAGCCACCCTGTATAGGGTTTCCGAGGAGCAACTGGTGAGCTTGAACTGCCCACCTTGCTGTTCAAACTGACTTTGCAATCCAGCGCATTAACCAGACCTCCCCTTAACTTTGCTGCATGACGGTCAGTGAGACAAATGCCAGTACCCTTTTGATTTTCTGCTTATTTTCTATCATTTAAAGAACTTATCTGTCAGTTTTTTTAATCTCTACATTTCTTTACAGACCCAGTGTTTAGAAGAGAAAAAAGATTCTTGGTTATCAGTATGTCTGATCAAATTTAGCATTATTCAACTCCTAATAAAAGTTTTCTTGGTGATGAAAGTTTTCTATGTTGATGTTTGTTCTGTTGACCACATCAAGTCAGCAGATTATATGATGCTTTTGTTATTTCTTAGGCTTTTGTAAGTACAGCATATATTTGCATCTGTTGAAAACACAAATGCATAGGCAAGGCTCCCACTGCAGGAACGTTTACAGAGAAGTTTTCCTTTTGTTTTCTGGGATTTTTCATTGAGCTTAGTTAGGA